TTTTCCTTTGGAGTACATGACATTGGGAAGGATATTAGGGTGCTGTGATGGAATAATTAGAGTCAACAGTGACATATTGCTTTGGTGAGGGGTGGCCTTAGCATATAAGCTACCCTTAGCTCACTGCAAAGAAATGATTGATTGCTGGCACCCTTACTAGATACCTAGAATTCTTTATTTATAATTGTGTATTTTTCTCTTAATTGGACTACATTGTGCCAATATGTTCTTTTTTGGTTCTCCAAAGATTCTTGATGACTTTACTTAATGACATCGTGCCAAAGATTCTTTTTTTGTTAAGGGAATGCTTTACTTTATATATTTATCTTGCTGTTGCTGGTCTGATTGATTGCTAATATCTAAGGGCAGAATCAATAGAAAACTCGTATTTTCAACTTTGGTTCGTATCTGGCTGCTTTTCTTGGATACTTGATTATTCTGGTTAGTTTAACATGGTGATTGCTCGGTGTTAATGCAACATCTAGATCACTGTCCTCCTCCCTGTTTATATTTGTGGCAATATGGTTTTTGGACCACGTTTGTTATCGCATTTGAGATTATACTTTGCAGGCTGTACATTTGACACTATATACTGCAAGTGAAATGTCTTTTGACATAATATGAGGAAATTTCATTGGGCAGTGAGTTATGTTTTCCAAAATGTGCAGCTTGCATTTCAAATTTCGAAATTTGTGTTATTTGCGCCTAAAGAATATCTGGAATTACTTTAAAAACTATATATATGTGTATATCGTTTGGCTGTGTAGTCTTCATTTTCTGAGCTTCATCATTCTTGTTGAGTTCTTTGCTTTCATGTTTCAAATTTATTGAAAGGAAAATATAAGCATGCTTTTTTGAGCCAATCCTGCTGTTTGGTATCAGCAATAAGTTATGTTGATGGTTGTATTTCCTATGAAAATCGAGAGTTAGTTTCATTGCTATTGCTGAATCTCTTTGCCAAAGGACTAAAATCCTGCTGGTAAAGTTTTTAGAGGATTGATTACTTCCGAGCTTTTTTTTTTTGGGGTAAGTACTTCCAACCATATTTCTCTTTTGCCAGCATTGTTTCCTTTTTTTCTTTTTTTTTAGCTCATAAGGTGTTTATTTACCCTGTATTTACTTCTTTTTACAAGTATTGGTACAAGCTGCTATGTGCTGTAATACATCATTGTCGTTTCATGAACTTGACAAGTTATAGGCAGGCCAATCTGAAGAAAAATTTAACTATCTAAATTGAAGCAGGAGAATTGACGTGACATCGGCAAAGGAAGTCTTAATAAGATCACATATTGCACAGTTTTGCTAATTGGTAATAGGGACCGTGCATCCTTAATGGAACCATTCCACCTCAAGTTTCTGTACCTGTAACTCAATGACTTTCTATTATCTTTGTTAATTTTTTTGCTATCCTTCTGGCAATATGTTTGGGGTGTCATTTTGGCCAGTAAAATTAGCCTTGAAGGACTCTTTTTTTTTTTTTACCATTTTCTTGGGTTTCCATTCTTTTAAGTCAAATAAATGGGGAATCAAACTGAGTCTTGTTTGATTGACCAACAGTGCAGAGGGAAGCAGTTGGTAATAATGATACGGCCTCCCAAACCCTTCTTCTAGGTGATGTTCATGATTGTGCCCTTTGCAGGGTGTAGCATGTGCAATTTGGCATCTTAGATCATTTCTTGAAAATAACATCTCAGGAACTATGATTCAGACAGCAAACACTTGATCTGAAATGATGGATGGCGTACCTCATTTTATCATCATTAGATGCAATGAGCCCTTGATGCCCATCTTTGTTGGTCTCAACTTAATTATGTCTTCGTTTTGTTTACTTTTGTGTACTCCTTGTTAATAAGGATATACTGAAGCCTCTCAAATTATTCTCTCGACTCAAATGTATTACTCAGTATGCATGTCTAATAAGAACTAAATATTTTCATGTGAGGGACTTTTTGAGTCCAAATATAGATCATCATAGAATGTCAATTTTCATGTTGCATGTTTCATTGTAGCAAAAACATATTAGAGTATGAGGACTTTGTCTTCTGTCTTGTATTGTACAGCTCGAACTTCATATAATCAGGGTCTAAAAAAATTCGGTAGAATTATGTTAGTATGTTAGCAATTATCTTCCTATATGATCACGGGAAGGTTTTCTTTATTCGGCCAGCTTCATAGTCTGAAACCTTAAGCTTGACATAGAATTTTTTTTAGGGATGTTTCTTAAAGATACCTTGGTAACTCTGATACTCCACTTCTTATTCCTGCAACTAATTCCAATGTTCGTCCAGAGGTAATTATGGTAGAATCAAGACTAGATTGCTTATATCCCTCCCTTTTTATTTCAACGATATGTCTCATGAGAATGCATTGTTTTTACAGTCGTACAATTTCATATGGTAGACAACTTCGGACTACTGGATAATGGTTTGTGTATTGGCCTTAACAGGAATTTGATTCAACATATGGTCCGGCTTGGCATTGCATTGTTGGAACAAGCTTTGGCTCATACGTGACACATTCCACTGGAGGTTTTTTGTATTTCTCAATCGATAAGGTCTACGTTCTTCTGTTCAAGACTGCTGTTGAACCATTAGACCGTTGAAACTCATGGTTATATTATACTCTGTAATTGCAAAGATCTTGAATCCTGAATGCCTTTTGAAACTGAGAACCTTATGTACAAAGCTGAAGGGAAAAAGAAAAACAAAAAAGAAGAAGAAAGAAATGGACAATATGTAATTCTTCTCTGCCTTCGTTTCTGTGTTGTATCTGATAACTGACCTATTGAAAAGAGGAAAAGGAGGAAAATGTAGTGTTTTTAACTATCCTTTAAAGTCCATAGGATTAATTGCAGAAGTTTGAATGTTTCATGAATTCTTGAAGTAGAATCTTGAAGATGAACAATCCAGCAGTTAGACATACTGTCTAAAGCACTTCATCAACTCCACAATTCTGGTTGATGACCAAAAGTAACAATTTATGTGTACTGCATTTTCTGCTCGTAGAAAGAGATATATTTTTCATCCGATCAAAATATTTCGCATATGAAAAGTCTGTTGCGAGTTTCTGATGTTCAAACATGTTCCTCCTTGGAATCTCAAATAAGCTAGGATTATAAATCTGGAGATATTGACGTCCTAGTTACAAAGGTGTATGGCATGGCAAGAATCTAAAATCGATATATAATTGCTAAATATTTGGTAATTCAACAGAGATTTAATCTAATTTTTTTTTTTTTATTTGGGAGCAAATTATAGAGAATTAATTCTTCTAAAAATGAAGGAGCCAAACACAGCCTAACTGGGATACTCGACAAATTTTCTCAACCAAGCAATTTAGGACACGTAAAGTTCCTCCTTCAAGTACTCTTTTCTTCAGCCTTCTTCTACATCATCTTCTTCTTGTCTGGACTTAATTTAGGAGTTCGAAAAGATAACGAAGCCTTGTCCTTCATCCTTTAAAACCTGGCCTTTCCGTCAACTGATGAGTTTGTACCAGCTTCACATATGGAAGAGAACTTAGTGCAAGATGCCTCAGATACTCCTCTCCAACAAGAAGGGATGCCCCATGAAGTTCTATTTCTTGTCTTGTCTTATCTTCCTCTATATGAACTTCTTGTTATGGCTCAAGTCTGCAGATCAGTAAAAGAAGTTCTTACCTATGATATCTTGCCATGGCTGAATATGGTGGTGGGAAAGCCATTGAACAAGCGTTTCAACGATGTCCATCTGCTCAAAATTACCTCAAAAGCAGATGGTAGGCTAAAAACTCTGGCCTTGTTGAATTGCTCAAAGATTACAGACGAGGGGCTTCAGCAGGTCATAGCAAGAAATCCTTACATAACCAGAGTATATTCATGAACCCTTTTATTCTTTTGTCCGGTCTTTGTCATCCTTTAGTGGGAACAGGAGATATAGTAATAAAAAATAATTTCATCTTCCTCCACGATGCATGTTCTTTCTATTTGATTCTTCTTTATGTTATTGTTCAAAGTAACTACCTTTGTTTTAGGGGATGGAAATCGATAAGGTATGGTTTTAGTTGGACTAGATAAACTTTGTTGGTCTGTGATGTGAAGCTATGTTGGCATAGTTAAGGACTAAAGCTAAGCTCTAGAAAAGCCTGCTGTCTCAGTTCTTCCCTTTTTCTCAGCTCTGGTTACCAGCTTGCACCAGCTTAAGCCCCAGTGGAGTGATTGAAGCAGTGAAGCTGCTTACCAAAAATAAGCACAGATTAAAGAGCCTAAGGATCAACGGCATCTATAATTTGAAGAAAGAAGGTCTTGAAATACTACACTGTCTAATTGATGATGAAAGCCACCCATGGCAGAAGAAAGGATTGAACTTCTATCATGAGTACAAAGCGTTTTCAACATTTAAACATTCATATCCTCCTATTGATGTGGAAATATGCCCAAAATGTAAAGAAGCAAGAGTGGTTTTTGACTGCCCTAGAGATTCTTGCAAAAGTATGAGGCAGCAGCAGAAGCTTGAGTGCAGGGGATGCCAACACTGCATCCTAAGGTGTGAAGAATGTGGTATGTGTATCAAAGATGAAGATCCAGTAGAGGCAGCTTGTGTGGATGTATTATGTTTAGGCTGCTGGCTTCAGCTACCAAAATGTAGTTTTTGCAACAAACCTTACTGTAGCCAACATGCAGATCAAAAGTGCAGCCTAGTAGGCTCTTCAGGATTTGTATGTATAGATTGTCATGCAAGATTTATAGAGAATTAATCATCACAAGGGCACTAGAACTTTTAGCAATCAGATGAAATGTGTTAACTGTTACGGATTAGACTTGCATCTGAGAACTCCCACTCATTTGTTTGGTTGATTATAAGCATCACATCTACTGCATAATACCTCCACAGACTTTGAATTCTCTACCAAAAAGTCGTTACTTTCATATATTGGTTATATTTACCACTGATGCAACATTCCCATTGCTTATTGTAAATTCGTCACCTAAATGCAATTTAAGAGTAAAATTAACAACTACGAAACAAAGAAAGGTCAAATCCAACAAGTGCCATTATAAACTTGACCACTCGAAACAATTTGCAGCAAAGGAGACATCTCAATGTCATTTACTTCTACCAACCTTCTGCCCAATAAAAAAGAAAAGATGATACAAGACAATATGAAGAGTCGAGACAACTCTATGCAAATTCATTTTCAGGTTAAAAGAATACAATCCTTGAGTACAAATTGACTCTAATCTAACCTAATTACATCAATGGTTCGAAATAATCCCAAAGCCTTCTTTGTACATGTTAATGTACCACTCACCTCAAAGCAACTTGCCAGCTATATAATCCAAGCAGATCCCAATGCCAACCCTAGCTCAATTCAGATGACCAAAATTGGGTGTGGCAGAAGTTGTAGCAGTTTTCCACCCAAAGGTTTCTCAAGTGTCAACGTAGTTCAAAAGCAGCAAAAAGTAAGAGATCAATGTTTTACAAGAAAGCAACACCCCAGAGCATAAGACCAAGTGTTATGGAGTTAAAAAGGACACCTTTCTCGTTTAAATATTGTGAATGGCAGCCAGATACCGTGGAGTTCGACGATGGAGCTAGAGAGGTGCCATTTGTGGTGGTCCTATTCCTCCCACCACTTCATAACAAACAAAGAAGAAAAACACAAACTCTCAGATGAAGCTTTTGGACATAAATAACAGAATATGGATGGCAATACAGAGATAGTAGACTAACTCAAAAACCATAGTTACAAACTCAATGCTTCATACCTTCCTGGAAATATACATGAATTATGACCTGCACAAGCAGAACGAACATTAGTATTTGATAATGCAACAAATGATGTTACAAGCAAGGAGTATAAGCATTTAATCTACACGAGTGCATAGAGCATTTAACTACAAGATTCTTTATTTAAAGTTGAAGAAATCAGTCTTGGTATGTTTTCTTTCTTCGTCTTTGTACTCAGTAAATACATTCACCAATGACTTCACTAACTTCTCCAAGCTGCGATTTAGAGTCGTCCAATAGCTGATTATGCAAAAACCTTAATTCAGATGAAGGTATGCATAAAATGCAAAGCCAAGAACCCCCAATCAAAGAAAAAGTACGACTTTTACTCCATTTGCATCTGTGCTTACAGGGAGAAGAAAAGAAATCTCCCGTTGAAATGCCATTTCATAGCTATTGATTAATTTTTTTTAGTTGTTTCTTTATGGCACCTCACAATCTCAGTAACTAAGATAACAAAGTGTCAAAAGTCTCTTCGTAAACCAAGTCAATGCATAACAATATATTTATTACTTACTGGGATCCGAGGTTGTGACGGTGGCAACCCCATTGAAGTCACAAGTTCCATCTGTCATACCCATCTTGTGATAATAGGCATCAAAAGCATATGATGCATGTGCTACCACAGTATCCGGATCATAACATGGATTTCCTTGCATTAACGGATTGCAATCCACTTTTCCAGGGCCACAAGCCCAATCGAGGGCTGCTTGCAGCAACTTCTTATCAGCTCCTTCCTTCGCAACACAGTAAGTCTGATTCGTGGTGTCATTTGCAAGAACAGTCCCAGAACCTGTCAAGTGTAGGATATAAACAGGTACACCATTGGCATTAAAAAGTCCCCAGTTCTTCTCTGAAATAGACCCTGGTCTCAGATCTTCATTGTATAGCTCATAGATGTAGGTGCTCAGTGCAATCCCAGGGTGTTTTGGAGTCCCTGTGTTGTTAAGAACATGCCTGATAAGGTTACTATTGTAAGTATTAGCATTATCTAGAGTGGCATCTGGCTCAGAAGAGTCACCCTTTGAAGGCCAACCAGATTCAGTGATTATTATGGGAATATTGGTGAAGTTCAGATAGGACATGGCAAAATATGCTGCATCCACTACTGCATCAAAAACATTAGTATAGTGCAGAAGAGTGTTACGGTCAACAGCTTCCTTGGTCGGAGGAAGAGGACGAAACAAAGCATAGTCTAACGGGATTGCACCATTTGATTGTACATAATCATAATATGGGTAAACGTTGAGCATAAGGAAGGAGCCAGTAGACTGCAAAAACTTGAGCAAGGGAACCATGACTGGCTCCAAGGTGCGGTTGAAAAATGCTTGAGAAGGTGGGAATGAATCAAGAATAATGGAAGAAGAGTGCGGGGTGGATACTTTTATCTGGGAAGCAAGATTAGAAGCAACTAGGGCAGACTGGATGAAATTCATTGCAGAGACCAGGACTGGGGCAGCATTTGGAAGGGTTGTCAGAACTTCAGATCCAACAGCTATAGCAGTGATGTTGGTAGCAGGAATATGGGCAATAACATTTCGGGAAACCCAATTGGCTGCTGTGGCATTTGACTGTCCAATTCCCAACAGTTGATCATTTGGTACTGATACAGTTACACGAATTCCAGTATTAGCAAGTGCGAGTAACATAGCTCTGTCAGCATCATACAACCTGACATGCCGGATTTGCTGAGCCTTGAGAAGGGCCACAACCTGAGTTGGGTCAGGCATGTCAGACAGGTCTGTACCTATATTTACACCAATGAAACCATCTGGAGGACAAGGACCCAAAAAACAATAAGATGTTTAGCAAAGGCATTGGCTGAGCAAGAGTTGGAGCATAAATTATTCTAATTCTCAGAGGAACTACAACGAACATGAGTGTCATAAAGAATTGAAACCAAATACCATCTTAGACTGCATAGTTAATATAATTCAAAAATTTGAAATTCAGGAAATCAGAGCAAGTTTTTCTGCTTCATATACAAGAACAATCAATCTGCTATATAAAGCACCTGATTCATGACTGTTTAGGGAGACACAAATGATCATTGACTCAGCAAAGCCCCTCATAAGAACCAGTCACTTTAAATTAGTTGCCTCTTGCATCATCATTGCATCCTATCATTCTAAAATTCTAAAAAGACCCCTGGCAAAAAATGAAGTAAATGAAATTTAGCAAACAATCAGCAATCAGCATCAGATAGAATTATTGGTTTTGGGTTCATAGCACTAGGGCCTCTATTAACTGAATCTGCTGGTGAAGGGGCACAGTGAGTTGCAGGGCAGAATCAAGAGGAAGAAGAGAAAAAGATTGTGAGAAATTAAATGTATAAATTAAATCAAGGCAACAAACCAAAGGGCTATTACTTCCATCGTAATCATCTTAACTGTAAGGTATCACGCAGTCTTTACGGAAACTATAGTTGAAACCAATTGTGGTTTTGTCATTTGCTAAACCAATGACATCAAAGATCCTCCTCAAGTTCAAGCAATTTTGCAGTCCAGCTATTCAATAGTCTTGATTACAAATATGATAGATAACAATAGAAGAGTTCAACTCTAAATCAATATGGAACAAACTACCAATTTTTGCTGGGTAAGGACACTCAAAATTAGCTATACTACAAAGCACAAACAAGATTGGTGGGCAGCGATAGCCCCATCGCCTTCAAGATTTCGGATATGTATTCACTATAAGATTTTGTAACAAAAACAGGGCCATAAGGAAGTAGATAAAGACACAAGGAAATATGTATCTTTAATCCCTGTATTCAATTGTCATTATCATAAATTGCAAAATGTTGCTGGTTATTCAAATTGCTAAACTTACACCTACAAAGATATGTTATCTTGTTCTTTTATTTGTCAACTTCTCTTTTTCATTAATCACTTGTTTCTCCAACAGGTATGCTTTTACAATTAGGTTAAAGCTTCAAATATATGCCACTGCCACATGTTCTCTCTTATAGGAGCCCACAATGGCCTTCCACACCACCAGAGGTCATAATCGGTAGGAAACAGACAATGCTAACTAATTGATACAAAGCCTCTCTGCAAGAATATTGGTCCAGCATGCTACTGCTGAAAATTTTTTAGGAATCAAATTTCTCGCGGAAGAAAAAGTAGCTTCTATAAAAAGCCAGAGTAGATTCTTACTGTAATAATATTACTCCATGGATATTTAAAGACTAGAAAATTTTTCAAAGCACCTTCTGTAAGATCTAAACAAGCATAGAAAGAAGTACATGCATGGAAAAACTGTCAGATAAATGATGGGCACATATAATATAAAATATTGCATCACAACATTGTCAGCTTGTCACATGTAGACATGTTAAACATCAAGCAAGAAAATGACAATAATATTCTTTAAAAAATTTGTTGGAACTTAATGGAAGAAATCGTCCTCCAATATAACTTTTTCTTTTTCTGTGGCAGCAGGAGTATCTTAAAGAAAAACCTACATGAGCTGGGCCGCAATAGCTTAGGTTCTGTAGATGGTCCAGCTCAGATTGAGGGCTTCACCAAAAATTTAAAAAAAAAAAAAATCCACAGAAAAGACCCTACTTTGGGAAGAACAAAGAAAAGATTCTCTCTTTCTCTAGAAAAGTCCCTATTTTCAGCGTAGAAACAGCCACTTTGTCAAGAAAAATGCTTATTAGAATTGCTTACCTCAAACAAAATTCAAAGCTTACGCTAATCAACTTTTGCACTTTTTTCTAGCTGATATAAAATCTTTCTTCTCAACTTTACGCTATATTCCTAACACCTTTACCTTAACCAAGACACATCCTTTTGGTAAAGGGTCTCACTCCCGCATACAAGCATATTGCGCACAGGGAAAAAAAAAACTAAAACTAGAACAGCATAATATTGCTACTGAAAAAACTAAAACTGCAACGTGAAAACAAAATGAAAAAGAAACTATCCCAGCTTGAAATGAGCTAAAACAAAACAGCCTGGAAAAAATACAAGCTGAAGACCACCACTAGAGTAGTGCATGAAGCAATCAATACCAAGTAAAGAGTTAGTTTTTCAGCCAAAAAAATGTAAAAAATGAGCCGAGAGATGGAAAAGATGAAAGACTAGGGAAAAAAATACAGTGGAACTAACGTAGGAAGAAGGAAAGACACTAACCTTCAGCAGCAGCAGCACCAGCAGCTGAAACAGCAGAAATTAGTAAAAGAAGAAGAAGAAAAGATTGGCCCTTTATTAATTTCATTTTATTCAACCCAAAAGTTTCAATCTTGGGATGACACATGAGCCCCCTAAAGCATAGAACTGAAGAAAATGAAGGTTACTATTTCGAGGTGACTGAAACGTCTGATAGAGTGAAAGGGTCCGCTCTGCTCTGCTGAAAGGAGGTGAGGGTTGTGCAAGAGAGAAGGGCAGGACGAGGGGGAACCAATTTGGTTTTAAATTTATTTTTTAGCTATTTGTTTTGGACAGATCAAGATTTTATGTCAGAGATCCGATGGCTGAGATTAAATATGTCTTATGACTCAGGTTCTTTTTTTTTTTTTATCAAAATATGACTCAGGCTCAGCAGATGGAAATATGACTCAAGCATGACTATCCTGTTTGGCTTGGAGGACCGCTGGCTTGGAGGACCGCAAGAGTAAAGTACTTTTGGATTTTGCATTTGACGGGTTTTACTTTAAACCCCTGTCTGTCTGAATGGCAGGGTGTGGGGTATGGGTTTTCCGAGCCACACGGTTATTTGTAGGTTTTGCTTAAGTTTTGAGGATGTTTCGTGATGAAATGATTGACCAGTTTGCCTCCTGCACCTTTGATTGTGGACTAGGACGTTTGACCAAACTTCCATGGTGATATGAATGCTTTTTTTTTTTTTTTTTCCGACACAGGGGTGTCCGGGTCAATCCTTACGGGGCCCAACTAATTCCCTGCGGCCCGGACCCGGCGCCCCTATCCCCTGATATGAATGCTTAATGTACAAGTATTTAGGAGACATTAAAAGGCAAAAATTAGATTTGTTTATAACGAAAGATTACATTAGAAAAGTTGGGAAAAAATTGGTTTAAGTGAAGTTAAAGGTATGAAAAACAACACTAAATCAAGAAAAAATTGCATCCTTTTTTTTCACTTTCTTTCTTTCTACAACAAAATCGAAATAAAAAATAATATATATAGTGCATATCATGTCAAATAGATGATTAAAGAACAAATTCCTTTAAAAGATAAATAAACACACAACAAAACCCAAACAAATACAAAAAAGAGGGCATAAAAATGTTGACCCCGATAGTAAATTATTTGAGATAATTTTGTGAAAAAATATTGTAGTACTTTTTTGATATGATGTATGTGAGATAAAAAGATGATTGAAAAATATGTTGATGATGCAAATAAGTCAATGTGTTATGGATCGAACTAAATGAATTGAAAGATATCTGAGGTAGGGAGGGGAAGGAGAGGGAAGGAATTGAGCATGAGATCAGAAATAAGGAAGAGGGAATAGAGAGGGAGAGGAAAGGATTGAATTGATTAGGAAAGAAACTTGGAACAACGTATTACATGCCCTGCCTGCAAATGCAGATGAATTACTTATACAAATCTTAGCTTTGAGCTCAAGAAAACAGCCTGCTAGTAACTAACTACTTTTCCCGCCAAATAACTATTCTTCATTCTGTTATGTCAATTGCTAAGCCACGTGACTCTCTTCATGCTATCACATTTCTGGTGCTACTCCCTTGCTGACTCATCCCAGTCATTTGTGCATGACAATTTGGACTGATTCCAGGCCATAACAATACCTCCCCCTAAAACAATCATAGTCTCTAGGATTGATTGATTTGGAAAGAAGGAAATTGAGCATGAATGAACGTCCAATCCTCCCAAGTGGCTTCCTCAGGTTCCATGTTTTCCCACTGCACCAATACTTGCTCAACTTCTTGACCCTTCCTATAGATAGTCCTTCTATCCAATACTACTGAGAGGGTGACCTCAAACTCACTATCTGCATTCAAGGTAGGCAAGGTAGTGCTGACTGGAGCCTCCTTTGGTGACTTCTTGAGCAATGAAACATGAAAAACAGGGTGTATGTTGGATCCTGCAGGTAGCTTCAGCTTGTATGCTACAGTCCCCACCTTTTGTTCCACCTGATAGGGCCCGTAGTACTTAGCAGTCAATTTCAAATTCCCCCTTACGGCTACTGAGGTTTGTCTGTAAGGTTGGAGCTTCAAATAAGCCCACTCTCCCACTATAAACTCCCTGTCACTCCTCCCTTTATCAGCCATTTGCTTCATTCTGTTCTGAGCTTTAAACAAGTTCTCTTTGAGCAAGGAATTCCAGCCTACTCTTTCCTGTGCCCAATCCTCCACAGCAGCTACTATTGTTTTATCAGGCCTCAGGTTCAGTTGTATAGGTTTGTAACCATATAAGGCCTGGAAAGGGGACATTTGTAGACTGCTATGGTGGTTAGTGTTATACCACCATTCTGCTGCAGGAAGCCATTTCCTCCACTTCCCTGGTTGATACATACACACACTCCTCAGGTAGCTTTCTACACATCTATTAACCCTCTCAGTCTGGCCATCAGACTGAGGGTGATATGCAGAAGAGAGATTTAGCTCTGTGCCAAGCATCTTGAAGAGTTCCTGCCAGAACAAACTAGTAAAGGCTTTATCCCTATCAGAGACAATGTGTGTTGGTAGGCCATGTAACCTGAAGATCTGATCAAAGAATGTCTCTGCTACACTTTTAGCAGTGTAATGAGAAGTCATAGGGATAAAATGAGCATATTTAGTAAATCTGTCTACCACCACATAGATGACATTACAACCAAAAGATTTAGGCAAACCTTCTATGAAATCCATGGAAATTTGTTGCCAAGCTTGCTCAGGAATGGCCAATGGCTGCAACAGTCCTGGATAAGCGCAATTCTCATTTTTACTTCTCTTGCAGACATCACAATTCTGTACATACTGTTCAACCTCCTTTTTCATTCCAGGCCAGTATAGGTAGCTTTTGATCCTCTGATAAGTACCATGATTCCCAGAGTGACATCCAAGACAAGAATCATGAAAACAGGAAATCAATTTTTGCCTTAGTCCAGCATCTGCTCCCACCCAAATCCTTCCTTTAAATCTCAAGATCCCTTGGTTATAAGAGTAGTCAGGTAGTGCTTCAGCTCCCATGGCCAACCTCAGTAGAACCTCCTTGGCCATGTCATCACCATTGTAGCTCTCAGCTACCATTGACACCCATTGAGGCTTGATGGTAGTGATGGCATGTACAAACGTTTCTGCTGACTCCTCCTGCTCTCCCCTCCTTGATAATGCATCAGCAACCACATTGTCCTTACCCCTCTTATATTGGATCTCATAATCCATCCCCAAGAGTTTAACCAGCCACTTTTGTTGAAGGGGAGTGTTTATTTTCTGATCCAGCAAGTATTTGAGGCTCTCATGGTCAGTTTTTATAATAAAGTGGTTCCCCATCAAGTAATGTTTCCATTTTTGAACTGCTGTGATAAGTGATAGGAGTTCTTTTTCATAGGTGGATCTGGTCTGGTTCTTCTGGCCCAACACTTGACTATAGTAAGCTATAGGTCTCCCTTGTTGCATCAGAACAGCCCCAATAGCTAACTGACTAGCATCAGTTTCCAATTGGAATGGTTTTGAGAAGTCAGGTAATGCTAATACTGGAGATTTAATCATGACCTCCTTCAACTGTTGAAATGCAGATTCTGCAACAGCACTCCAAGCAAATTGATCCTTCTTCAGTAACTCAGTGAGGGGCTTAGCAATTTCTCCATACCCCTTAACGAACCTCCTGTAATACCCTGTTAAGCCCAAAAATCCTCTGAGGGCCTTCAAACAAGTAGGAGTTGGCCAGGACAGCATAGCCTCCACCTTGGATGGGTCAGTATTCACACCCTCACTAGTAATAACATGTCCCAGATACTCCACTTGGTTTTGACCAAAAGAACATTTAGACATCTTTGCATACAAGGAGTGTTGTCTCAGGGTTCCTAATACTAAGGATAGGTGGTGTAAGTGGGTTTTATAATCTGGACTATAGATCAGAATGTCATCAAAGAACACAAGGACAAATTTTCTGATGTAAGGTTCAAAAACTGAGTTCATTAGTGCTTGAAAGGTGGCGGGGGCATTTGTCAGGCCAAATGGCATTACAAGGAATTCATAAAGTCCAGAATGAGTTCTAAAAGCAGTTTTATGGATGTCCTCAGGTCTCATTCTGATTTGGTGATAGCCTGATCTCAGATCAATTTTAGAGAAGACCCTGGCTCCATGTAACTCATCTAGTAAGTCATCTATAATAGGGATTGGAAATTTATCTTTGATGGTAAGATTGTTCAATTGTCTATAATCAATACAAAGCCTCCAGCTCCCATCTTTCTTTTTAACTAAGAGAGCAGGTGATGCAAAGGGGCTGTGGCTAATTTGTATAAGACCAAAGGTTAACATGTCCTTTACTTGCTTGTCAATTTCATTTTTCTGTACATGGGGGTACCTATATGGGGGAATTTTGAAAGGTTTGGCATCTAGTTTAAGAGGGATTTGGTGATCATGGCATCTGTTTGGGGGAAGAGTTATAGGTTCTGCAAAGACATCATCATACTTGGCCAACAATTGAGTAAGAGAATCTGGTTCAGAAATTACCTGCGAGTTGTGAACCTTCACCATACAAGATTGCTGCAGAGCCTTCCTGATCTTATGTCTGACATATTTATGAGCTGTTGAGCCTTGTTGCATTCTAACGTTTGCATTGTTGGAGTCTCCTTTTAACACCACTTGCTCTCCTCCCTTCTCAAAAGTCAGGTTTAGTCTCTTGAAATCAAAGGTAATGGGGCTGTAGGATTTCATCCAATCTCATAAGGTTCCAGGTCCATGACAAATACATCATGTGTAAATCTGTGGCCCTGCATGTCCCACTGCATTCCTGGAATCCACTGGTCACAGTGCAACTCTTTGCCATCAGCAATCTTGACCTTAAAAGGCCTATGCTTCTGCACAGTTTCTGGGTACAACTGAGCCACTGATCTCCTGATAAAACAATTGGTACTTCCTCCATCCAGTAGGATTGTCAGCTGACAATTCTTGTACTGCCCCTGCATTTTGATGACACTTGAAGATAATTCCCCTGTCATTGCATGCAGGGTCAACATCACATCCTGCTCCTGTTGGTTCCCCATGTACTCAATAACTTCATCTTCTTCTATTGTTTGTTCTGCCTCACCTTTTTCCTCATCTTCTATTAACATCATGTGGATCCCCTTGCTCTTACAAGTGTGTCCGGGAGTAAATTTGTCTCCACACCTAAAGCATAGGTTGTGCTCCTTCCTGTATTGGAATTCAGTAGGAGAAATCTTCCTGAAAACTTGCTGTGAATTGGACTTCTTGCTGTAGTCTGTTGGCGAAGTACTAGCCTGCCTTGCTCCTGGATCCTGTACTCCCTGCATTCCCCTGGTAAGACCATAG